GACGGTTCCAGACCTCTGGCTCAGACGGTTCCAGACCTCTGGCTCAGACGGTTCCAGACCTCTGGCTCAGACGGTTCCAGACCTCTGGCTCAGACGGTTCCAGAGCTGTGGGGTTTTGAACCTTTGGTGTCCCCAGCGTCTCCAAAAATCTCCAAATGTAACAGATTAATTCATAGAATAACTATGAAGCATTTTGATGGCCATAAAACATTTATGAAGCAAATATTTTTCCACTTCTTTTTTTATTTTCATCTCATGAGATGTATATATATACACACCAGTATAACTGTGAAACGTTTTATATAACAATATAAGACGTTTCATTTAGTGAATAACTCTCTGGCTGACAGGCAGGCAGCTCTAATAGGGAACCTTCAGATCATCTCAGCTTCTATGGATCAGAAGGGAACTTTAAATCAGAGGCCAGGATAATCCCATGTGGGGTTCCTCAAGGCTCCATTCTGGGCCCCCTCCTATTCAACATCTACATGCTCAACATCTACATGCTCAACATCTACATGCTCGGATTATAGCAAACAACCAGATCAGTTACCATGACGATGCAGACGACACTCAGCTTTACATCCTAATGTCAGCAGGTGACTCTGAACCCATCAGAGCGCTGGTTAGATGCTGAGATTCTACTATAGATAACATCATAGATGTTATCTATAGTAGAGTTGATCACCTCAAAAGAGTCTGCATTAGTTTGCCTAAAAACCCATCAGACAGCTGCAGCTGATCTAGACGCTGCTGCCTGCGTCCTCACTAGAACTATAGAAAGTAGTGTTGCACCAATGCCATTTTTTGGCACCGATATCTGGCTGTGCAGTATCAGCCGATACCGATACCATAATAATGTAAAATAATCACCATCATGGCTTCATGTCAAGCTGCTGCCTACCTTTGTGAAGCAGGAAAAAATCTAATACAAAGTGAATCCAGTAGAACTTTTTGATAAAAAGTTTGATAAAAAGTTCTACTGTATAATAAAAATAAAAAGTTTTTATTCCCTACCAGGAGTGGGTGACAATAGTTGAATAAACTTTTGGCTCTCAAAATGGTATCGGTGCCCTATTTGTTGGTACTCGCCGATACCGATACCACCATTTTAGGGCAGTATCGGGGCCCCGTCCAATACTGGTATCGGTATCGGTGCAACACTAATAGAAAGTAGATCAGACGCTGCTGCCTGCGTCCTCACTAGAACTATAGAAAGTAGATCAGACGGCTGATCCAGACGCTGCCGCCTGCGTCCTCACTAGAACTATAGAAAGTAGATCAGACAGCTGATCCAGATGCTGCTGCCTGCATCCTCACTAGAGCTATAGAAAGTAGATGACATCTGCCCGGTTCTAAAGTCCTTCCTCTGGCTCCTTGTAGCTCAGAGAATAGGGTCCTTCTTTTAGTCTAGAAATCAGTGAATAGATCAGCACCTCAATTCATAACAGATCTGTTGCCAGTGGATCTACCTCCCACACCACTCAGGTCTTCTAGTTCCAGCCCACTCTGTCCACCCAGAACTAGAGCTAAACATGGGGAAGCAGCATCTATGCTCCACGGATCTGGATCTGGATGGAAAAGGATAAAGAAAGAAAGTTCTTTGAAGTCAGAGTTTCTAACCAGATAGTTTAGAGCTTAGACTGATGGAGTTAATCTGTTAACTGAGGAATTATTAGTTTAAGGTTCTGATCCAACTGTCTGATTAGCTTCACTACCTGCTTTGATCCTGTTTTTATCCACCAGGTGGGAAGGTGAAAGTTAAACGGCTAGACTGGCTTCAGCACAGTCTTTGCACAGGTAAGAGATCACATTTTATCTTCTGATCTTCAGCACATCAGGAAAACTACTTTACCTCCTAGCAGCATTAAAGTCACCAGACAGACTCGTCTATAAACCAGCCTGATCCCGGCTTTTAGCTCGCTATGTGAACAGCCTTTACTAAAAAATGACAAATTGTACGTCCTGTTTCCCCTGGAAACTTCCCTCAAATGTTAAACATTGATCTTTATCTGCTGGATGCGCGTCATCAACCAATGAGAGAAGCTGATCTGG